GGCCCAGCTCAGCTCCCATGCCAGGAGGGGCCCAGCACAGCCCCCAGCCTGCAGTGGCCACTCACCCTTGCCCCACACACAGAACCTGGGGGCACGTGCCCTCCATACCTCCCCCAGGGTGCACGCAGCAGTGGGAGCCCCCCCTGCGTACCCCATGGACAAGCTGCCTGTGGCTCTGTCCTACGTCCCACCCCACACTGGCTGCCCCAGCCTCATCCCCACCCTCTCCCTCACCATGGGGTCCTTGATCTGCACCCCCATTCCCCTTCCCCCCCCAACAGCCTTACCAGCCAGATGCTTTTCTCCAAGCTGCCGGGCTGCATATCAGCAATTGGATTGGTATCGGCTGATATGGTTGGTCAATAATCAAAATCAGTATCAGCCCAGAAAATCTTTATCAGTGCATCCCTACTAAACTGTATGATTCTATTAATCAAACTGTCCGACAGGAGTAGGCCAGTTATATCAGAGGTCCCATTTTCTGAAAACCAGGCATTCAGGAAACTGCTAGTAGTTTGAAGTATGTTTGCTGGCAAGACACTAGTTTGTAAAAATCAGCAAATGAAGTCTAGATAGTTAACATTTATGGAACACATTACCTATACCTCAAATAGGCTCTTCTAACCAGAAGAAGCATATAAAAATTAGGTAGTTTATTTCAGTACTTACCTTCTTGCAGGGGGTTCAGGCAATGTGACAAGGCAGGATTGAGCCTGAGCTAGTATTTATCTCCTTGCACCTCACAGGCACCCTTCAGAAGATCACACAGCACCTCAGAATGTCCTGGCATCCTGGTTCAGAGTCACTGTATTAGAGGGTGCAAGGAAAGGGATAGTGGCTATACCAGTATCTCCTCCTATATCCGCCAACATCTGGAATATTCTCTACTCCTATTGTTTGCAGTTCCCTGGCCTATCTAGTTTCTATTCTTCTGGAGGATGAATAGCCACAAGCTACTTTCCTGCAGCTGTTCCTGATTGTCTTTGGAGTTGTCAGTCCTCATTTCCTGATAAGCAAGATCTGACCCCTATAACTTGGCCTTTAGAGCCTGGAAGAGGGAAAACCAATGCGAGAAGCAGAGTGAAAAGAAAAAATGAAAAACTTTTTTCCAAAGTCATTAGAAAGGAAAACATATTATTCTTTTCTGGTTTAATTCAGAAAGTGTCACCAAAGAGTAAAATCTCATTTTGATGGCATGCATAAAGGTACAGAGTTTAAGAAAATGTTGAGATTCCTATATCTGAGCTATTGCAGTATACATCTTTTTATCGAGTTCAGCAGACCATTCAGTGCTATCCACAGTCAAATATTCTGCAAAGCATTATGCCAGAAATAAATGGCTTGGTAAAATTACTGTAGTTGCAGTACAGATTTGAAACACTAATTGAACAGGTATAGAGGTAAAACATCTGGCATTCTTGAAAGTAGCAGATGAGTATATTCCTATTGTGAGAATAAAATGAAATAGTAAAATACAGCTAATTGATAATCTTGAGAGAGAGAGAGATTCATTGTTCTGAGCTTTATGAATTAAACAGAACAAAGAACCAAAATGTAAAGAATAACATATACACTTTCATATTTCTGGTTTTGAACACTACTCCTTAAAAAAAATTATTTGGAACAGTGAGCTTCCATCCATCAGGATGATGTAAAACGTGTGTCTCCTGGGAAAGTAACAGATTTTTAAGGCATGAGGTAGCATCTCTTCTTGGAGAAATTGGGGCTTACAAAAGTGAGATCCACAAAAGGCCTGAAGAATTTAAAAAATGATAGTAACAGGAAATGAAGTACAATGATTGAAATAAATGAAAACAGAAAATAACTAAGCAGAATGATCAGAGACTGACTCAGATATTGCTCATTTTGTAGCTGTTATAAGCTGTTTATTGTACATAGTAATGAGTTCTTAGATTTCTCCATCCTCCTTTCCTTTGCCCCCTTCTTCAACGCATGTTCTGTGTTTCACACGGTCCTATTTCAGAGACTCCTTCACAACTCCTCCTCTCAAGAGTTCTGTATGTCACTTTCCTCCCATGTCGCCATTAGACTTCAGAGTACTGAGGTCCTTGCAGCATACTCTTCCTCCATTTGGGGTGGTCCCAGGCAATAGTCTCCCACAAGTTGATATTGCGTTCTTCCAAGTTGGTCTGATGTCACAAAATTTAAATGCCCATTTCCTCAGGTGTCTAAAGGTTGCATTTGGATTTCCTCATCAATGTCAGCCTTCTGCGAGAGAAGGTTTCCAAAATACCAGAAATACTCAGCGTTTTCCAGTCTCACTGTGAATCTGAATTAGAAGAGCTTGGGACTGCTCATTAAGGGTCTTTATAGACATGCTAACAGGAGGCGGAGAGGGAAGAGGAGGGGTGCTTTAATTAGACTGGCTTCGAGAGCCTTTCTGAGTAAAGTGTCTGTGTATCAATGCATATGTATCAGCATCTGTAACAGGGCGGCCTCCTCATCAGGCTCCACCAGCTACCCTGCTTCTCGGGTAACCACTTGCTTTGCTCACCTGCCATGCCTTGATGGAAAAATATGAGAGTTGTTACTAACGCAGGAGGCTACCCATTTTTCATCCTGCTGACAAGGGCCTAATACCTGCTCTGACCTCCCCTCCAGGGGTCCCATGCCTTGCAGATGTTACTCTGGTGTTACTTCTCCAGGCCTATGGTTAAAGCAAACTAGGAACACAGTTGTAGCTCTTCTCTCTTCACATGCCACCCCTCTCTCACCAGGGTCCCATTTACTTTGTTGGCTCTCACCCAGCCTCTTTCACACTGCCCTCTCTCAGGGCCACACTCATCCTGCCCTGACACAGGCAAGGAGAGCTAAGTCCAAAGCTGGGTGAGGCAGGCTCTCCTTGCCTGTGTCAGCCCCAGCACAATATGTTGGGTGTCTCCTGCTACCCTCACCTGAGCATTGACTGAGCGATTCTACAACTATAGGCCTATTTTGCTCCTAGCCCCTCACTGGGGCACTATGCCCCCAGTGGGCCTCCTCACTCATCCCCACTCACAGGGCTGCTGTGTTCATGGCCCCTCTCACACCCCCCCAGGCTTTCACCTGCTGCCTGGGAGCAGCTCCAGGTTCCTCCTCCGGCCTGAGCTCTGCCTCAGGGCTCCTTAAGCCCTGGGCTCTCCCTGCTCGTTAGAACACCACCAGAGATGTGGGGCTGAAGTTATAAAGCACCCCAACCTACCTTTCACCAGGGAGGTAACTGGCCTTGCATTTCCTGGGGGCTGTCACGCCACTAGGAGCCCCACCAGACCACCCTTCCCCAGCAGGGTGCAGTTTTGTGTCTTACCCAGGACAAGGGGTCACCTCCACCCCATAGTCTCTGCCCTTACCTCCTGACTATGGCTGGTGCAGCCTCTCAGCCTGATGTTTCCTCCTGCAGCAAACTGCAACCCAGTTTATATGCCTGGGTCCAAAATGGCTGCCCTCATCAGGCACCTGGCTTCTTCCTGTTTTCTGCCCTTAAAGTGGCAGGTGCCCTGCCACAGCATTCCTATGCTGAAAAATGGCACTAGGGGCACTTTAACTAATGCTTGTTGAACCAGCTTTATTTTAAAGCACACCCGCCACGATTTTCAGCATGGGGATGTGATCACACATGATGCTGGAGTCTGCTGCTCGATTTAATCGAATCTGCTCTGACATGTAATTACAATGCATTGGAGCAGCTTCTCTGCATGTGTATAGGTGCCCTAAGAGCTTGTTGATGGAGGACCTTAGTCTTCTGAATGTTAATTGTCAGTCCCATTTTATTGTATGCTTCAGTAAAGATGTCAGCAATTGTCCGAAGATCTGTTTCCAAGTGAGTACAGGCTACAGCACCCTTAGACATCAATCTAGTGCACTATATTGACTCACAGACATACACTTGATGTTCAAGTATATGTATTTCCTGATGTGCCTAAGTTCACTTAGTCTAGAAAATTAAATATCTTATATATGTACGAAAATTTTGTATGGAACAGTAATTCTCATGCCATTCAGCATTCCATCACATTCATTTTCTCTTTACTAGAAATGAGATTATCATAACTGATTTTTTTTTAATAAATGGCATTTTTTAGCATTAACAGTATTACAGATTGTTAATATTACAGTGTTTCAGATTGTTGTTTCCTGTAGGCCTTGCTTGGAGAGAAGCAAAAAGAAGAGGAAATAGAAAATATGAAAGAAGCAGTTTCTCAACTTGTACAAGATGCTGCTGCCAGAACTAGAAAGGAAGTAAGTTATCTTATAGTAAAATATTCTGCGTAATTTCCAGTGCTTGCTTTAGAGTTTATTCTGAAGATTTTCAATACGTAGAAGAAAAAGTAAATGACTTAGACTATTTGAGGATATCTTCCATTGGTTCAAGTCTGCTCTTCCATATACTTTGTGTCACATATACTGGAATATGCATATGGATAGTTGCTCACAGAAGAAATTGAAAAACAAAAACAATTCTAGAGGCATATTGATCATGCCACTTGTTTTCTATATCTAATAAGAAACTGATCAGAAGCCATTTTTCCAGATATTCTTTCTGTGAAAAAGTTTATAAACTCTGCCCTTGTTTTGTCTTAGTACTTATTATTAAAAGCTTTGTATCTAGGTTTGGGTTTATGTTTTACTTCGCATTTGATGATATTTAACAGTATTTGATTCTAGCTGCTTTAAGAAAGTAAGCATACCGACAAGCAGTATCTTCAACTAGAAACTAAATGAGGCTCCTTTTTGAAATGTCATATGGCAAACTAGTGGTTTTCAGTCCAAACTTTAAATAAGTTATCTACTTAAATGATTTTAAAAGAAATGTGTACAAGACCTATAAAAGCATTTACAGTTTCGTAAGTGTTTATCATGTATATCATATATATAGTATGTCAAAAAGCACTGATACCGTATTTTAAGTACACAATGCCATAATTCTTGCTATCTACCATAACTTAAACAGAATCACACTTCCAGTGCACCAAATGGCTGAGTGAAAATTAAGAGTTTTAGCCTACTTCCTCAGTTCACTATTTGGTGGTTCCAGGTCATTCTGTAGTTGTGTTGCTGGTATGTGTTTATCTAAATGATGGGTCTTGCAGTGACTTGAAGGAAGATTGTGAATGTTTCTTCAGATGGAATATAAAATTGGGCAGTAGGCAAGTCACAGTATCTTGGATCATTTTCAACTGCCATGTCTGCCTTTGCCATTTAAAATGTCTGATGTGTGTGTATATATAACAGTAAATGGTCTGCTGCTAATATTGTATCATGAATACCAGGAATGTGGCATAATACAAATGAAAGATATTTGCTTTTTCTAGTGGAACCATACTCATATTTTCTTCACTTTAATCATAATGGTTCCACCAGTGAACAAAAAATTAATAAAGCTCACATTCCTCAAGTGGATTGGCCAGTGTGGAACCCTGATGACCCATTTATAACCCTGAACCGATGTTTTATTAAAGCATGTAATATACTTTAAGTAATAAACTCAGACATGAAAGTGATTGCTGGTCTCTGGTCCTGCATTTTGCTTGTGTGTTTATGAAGTTCAAGGTGCTGATCCTAATCTTACTAAGTATGTAAAGTATAAATATCCTTGCCACAGCAATTGATTTTTCTCTTTCTAAATACTGACAGGACTTAATCAAATGTAATCATTGACAAACATAAAACAGCATGTAAACAGATTTTAATTTCAGAAAATTTAGAATTTACAAATGTAAAAATTATCCAAACAATAGCCTAGGATGTTTCTAATTGAAGTAAAAGTGTATTTTGTTGTCTTGCATAAATGTTGGGCAGAACATTAATTGCATCATTTTTGGCAGATAGTTACTACTTTGTTAGAGGTTATAAAGTTAAAAGGGCTAGTTCATGCTAATAAGTTGACAAGATAAAAACTTATGTTGATTTAAATACATAAATATTGTTCTAAACTCTTTCATGTTACGGAGATGTTCTGCAAGATAATACATAGGTATGTTTTCCCATGTGTTTCTTACAGCCCCCAAAATTGATTGTACATGATCGATGATAACAGTCTTGTTGCAAGTGTTTTAATACTGTAGCTACTACAAGGATGTCTAGATGGCAAAGACAGAGCATAACAGTGCTCTTATAACGCATGAAGGATTCTTACAAATGTCCCAGGGACCCAAAGTGTTGCAGTCTGTGTAGGCACTGTTGTAGGAAAAAGCCCGTACATGGACTCTTAAAATGGAGTCAGATTCTCTTCAGTAATTCTTTTGGCTGTTACTACCTCAGACCTGCTGTTTTACTGAGATCAACACAAGGAGCTATGATTAATTTAAGAATATGGGGCATTTTGAGTTCCCTGCGGAATGCCTATTGCGTGCACAGGGTAAGCTACAAGTTCTGATGAAAGTTCCTGTACCAGTTATTGCATCTCCATGGCATTACTTTAAAAGTTTGCTCTATATACAACTAGATTTCACTAAAAAGGGCTAAAACCAAAAGGCCACAATCCTGGAACTTGTACTTGTAAAATGAGGTGCAGAACTGTTCATAAACTGACTTTAATCAATCTTTACCATCTTAGATTTTAACTGGTCTTTGCACTAACTCATGCTAGTCCCCTTTTGACATTTGTGAGCAGTTGAGCAATTATATCTATTACCACCTATAAAAAGAGGTGGAAATGATTATTTCCCAATTCTGCTTTATCTGTAATGACACTCCTTTTCTTTGAGGGTGCTCAACAGCTGTTGTTCCCATTTCAAATGTGGTTACCTTAAAACAGAGTTTATCAGAGAATATAGGCTTCACAACCTTGATTTCCCTCTAAGAAATGCATGTGTTACTGTAGATGGCAATAGACTTAAATCATCTAATCTGAAAGTTGCCAATGACATGACAAAAAGTCCATATTCTGATCCATTGCTTTGAAGCTTTGTCTCAGTTCAGTCTCTGTCCCTGATTCAGGATAAGTCTCTGTGCAAGAATGCCAGGTTCTTTTCTCCTTCCAAATCTCCTTTCCCTACTACTTTCTTGTATCCAAAGATTGCAGTGACACATCAGGCTTTCAAAACAGTTTTTAAGTAGAGAAATAGGGCTAAAAGTGATCTCTGATCTCTTTTGGTTAGCTGCTAGTAGCAGGCACGAAAAACTGCTGTGCCTCATAGAAATCTGAAATACTGCATTTGCAATGCAGGTAGAAGGTAGATGGCAAGTGCTAGTTCTAAAACCCAGCACTGAAATAGTAGGACCATCAGCACTTCATCTGGTTGCAACACTGAGTTACTGCTCAGAGCTAAAGAGCTGTCTTGCATACATATTAAAACATTTTTTGTCGTTTTACATAATATAGGATTAGGGCACATTTTACCTTGGTGAATTAGCATGCATCTTTGGAAGTAAAAGCTATATTAAAATTTCAGGTTTTTTGTTTGTGAAACATTTCCCCCCCAAAAAATTTTTAAAAGTATTTTTTCATGAATACTGAAAAAATGTTATATTTTTTCCCCTTCAAATTGCATGAACACATCTAGTCTTGCTGCTTATTCCATGAAAAGTGTGTTGTATGCACATGCATGCTGTAGAAAAGAAAGCATTTCAGTGACAAATGGTCGCTGAACTGAAGAACTGTTGTGAGGAAGAGTTGTCTGCTAAGGAAATTGGAGATAAAGAAAAAAATTAAATAACATACTAGATTTGTTAGCACTGGAAACTAGAGATTTGGGGGAAAAACAAGAAGTTTAAAGAAATATGGAAGATAATGTTGTCACAGTTCACAAGGGTATTGGCCTAGTGGGTAGAGCGGGAGTGAGGACAAGCAGGGTTGCTGGGATGAACCAGGGACTGGGAACAATCAAGACCAACCCAAGTTCTAAACTGAGGCCCAGAGTCTGAAACCAAACCAGAGGATTAACTAGGGATCAGAGATCAGGAAGGAAACCAAGGTCAAAGAGAAGTCCAAACACTGAACCAGAGGGTTAATCAGGCATTGAGGGCACAGAGGAGTTACCAGGACAAGAGCTGCATAAGGACTGGCAACCATTACATTGTGCAGCCAAGCTCTGGTGCTGAAGAGGTTCTTTAAGAGCAGACATGAAACCAGTCAGAGGGAAGGGGCTAGGGCTCAGCTAGCACTGGTTAGTTCTTTAGGCTCAGTTACTCTGGCTGCAGGGAAGAAGCCTCACTTAGTCTTGCCCCTGCAGGTTATTCATAGATTCATAGATGTTGGGGTCAGAAGGGACCTCAACAGATCATCAAGTCCGGCTCCGTGCCTTGGCAGGAACGAGTGCTGGGGTCAGATGACCCCAGCCAGATGCCTATCCAGCCTTCCCTTAAAAGACCTCCAGGGTAGGGGAGAGCACCACCTCCCTTGGAAGCCCATTCCAAATTTTGGCCACCCTTACCATGAAGAAGATTTTCCTGATATCTAGCCTAAATCTGCTCTCTGTCAGTTTGTGACCATTGTTCCTTGTTACCCCAAGAGGCGCCCTGGTGAACAGAGTATTTCCGATCC